ATGGCATCTACCAGAACACTGGCGTGATGAATGCACCATTACACTGGAAGGATTTCAGCTTCTCTTTCAGATGCTTTGGGGACCGCAAGAAGACGAACACGTGCGAGTACTCCTGCAATACACTCAACAAGTGAGGGAACTCCATCAACAACAAGCCATTGACCAACAAACCCAAGCCTACAGAGAATGGCTAGTCAAGGCTTCACAGAAAGGGTGTCGGGGCCTTTACAGATCCTTGAAGAGAGATGAAATGCCCTACCTCAGGCCTTTCCAGGACAAGCCCAAACAAGAGCGCATGGAACGCAGGAAACAGCAATGGGGTGCGATTCGGGGCCTCCGAGATGCCCCGCTGCAACCAGATGAACTTCAAGAACTGATCAAGCAAGGAGCAGAACAGGGCAAGAACATGCCGCCTCTGCACCCAAAACAGGTGTGGACTACCATCAAGCACCTCAGCCTCAAGGCGCCTGGCCTCGATGGCGTCAGCTTTGACTTTCTCAAGGCCCTGCCGTACCAGGCTATGCAGGATCTTGTCCAGATCTTCCATGAGATTGAGTCACAGTCAATCTTGCCGCAGCAATGGGCCACGTCCCTCATTGCCCTTCTGCCCAAATCAGCTGAGATAGAAAGACCAATAGCATTGGTGGCCACGATGTACAGGCTTTGGTGTCGTCTTCGACAATCCTTCACCAAACATTGGCAAACGACCATCTTGGCCGACTACCACTGGGAGAGAGCAGTCCCAGGAACCGAGTGTTTGCAAGTGGCCCTCAAGAGAGCGTTCCTCGCGGAACACCACAACGCATTGAGAAAAACGGTGGTCTCGGTTCTCCTTGACATGTCAAATTTCTATGACAGGATCAGCCTGCAGAAACTTTGCGCCAGATGGCTGGACTCGGACTACCCAAAGACTCATGCAGCACTGGCCATGCAACTGTACTTGGGAGGTCGCATCCTTGAAGCAGAAGGAGAAGCATCCAATCAGGTCTGCACTCAGAATGGCATCTTGGCTGGAGATCCCCAAGCCCCCTTGGCGGCAAAGATCTACTTGTATGACGCCCTGAAGGCCTTCCACAAGAAATACCCGCACCTTCACACCGACCTCTGGATTGATGACCTGAGCTTTGATGTTGTCCATCGTGATCCTGCACAAGCTGCAAGGATAGCTCTCCAAGCCTATGACTACATCAGGCAACTCTTGGAAGCTGACAACCTCAAGATTTCTGCCAAAAAGACCGGCTTCATTGCCTCCAACAGTGAGGCCAAGCGACTTCTTCAACAGCAGCTCCCCCAAGATGGCCCAAGAGTACACGACGTGATGCGTGATCTTGGCGTCGACTGCACGGCTGGACGCCTCAGAAGGATCCAAACGCTCAAGAGCAGACGCAGCAAGGCATCCAGGAAGACCAAAAAGCTGGCCACCTTGAAGATTCCTTTGAGGAGCATCAGATTGAAGTTGTATAAGGGCAGCATCGTAGCAGGGATCAGTTGGGGCCACGAGGCCATGGGCCTGGCACCACAGGTCCGTCGACGCTTGAAAGCTGTCATGGGGCGTCAGCTCGGCCTTCAACGCGCAGGAAACATTGACATCCTCTTTGACATGCACCACCGGCATCAAGATCCAGACTATGGCTCCTTCATGTCTCAGGTCCGCATCTACCGGCGTTTCTATGGCAACTGGCCGGAGGCTACTCACAAGTCTCTCGAGAGAGCCTGGCAAGCCATCCGAGAGCGACTCCAACAGGCTCAACATCCATGGCAAGTGGCCAAGGGTCCAGTCGCAGCTCTGATTTGTCATCTGATGGAAAGGAACTGGGACTGCACCCACTATCAACTCTGGACCAAACCAGGTCACAATGGGAGCAGAGATTTCCGCCTGGACATGACGGAGGACTGGTTTGCCTTGAGAGAAGAGCTGAAACGAGCAGAACGGGAACGCATTGAAAAGATCAACAAGCGCACCATGCTGGGAGACGTGCAGTACACTTTGGACTGGACACCCTGGCGAAAGCTGAACAAGACCCTCAACAACAGGAACAGCACAGCTCTAGCCACCTGGCATCAAGGGGCGCTTTTCACCAAGATCTCGGACACTGAGGAAGAGAAGCACCTGCAATGCCCACACTGTGGACAAAAGGCCACCCTCCTGCACCTTCTTTGGCTGTGCAAGGAAACGAACAAACAGTTCCCGCCACTCGATGCAGAAGACCAGTTTGAGTTGGACCATGGGATCAACCTGGAGTTCTGGACGCAGGGACTCCTCATGTTGCCACGACATGAACTGCCCACAGGAGGAGCAGCAGCACAGGCATGGGGCAGCTGGACCTTGCAAGATGAGATGAAGATCAGCAATACGGCAGTCTTCACCATAGGCATTGCTGCCACAAGCAAAGATCCACGGCTACGGCATTTTGTTGTGGCCTTGGTGCAGCACGCCAGATTGGGGGACGAACTATACCGGCTTGGTGTGGTAGCAACAATTCTTCCTGGGCATCAATCCTTGGAGAGGGCTTGGTACTATGGGCTCAGGATGGCCGCTCACTACATCAACTTGAGTGAGCCGATCAGGTTCCATGTCCTGTCCACAAAGGCCTGGGAAGCATGGGTGCAAGGCAAACATGACCACATCTTCCATGATTTGGCCAGCCTGGTCACGGCGGATGAGCGGCACCAGATCAAAGCTTTGAGCATCAACATGCAGCAGGTGAGGCAAATGCCAAAAGGCACCATGACGCTGAGAAGTCGCTTCCATGATGCCACCAAGGCTGCGACGGAGGTAGCTTTGGCCTACCAACCCAAGACTGAGGAAGCCATCCTCCAGGAGCAAGACCAGAAGTACAAGAAGATCGCTCCGTTGGCTATGCAGCGCATCAGGTTCATCCTTGATACCAAGGACCATTTCACGCACCAGGCAAGAGAGACCGGGAAGACACTCCGTTCCCAAACACAAGAACAGAAAAAGCAGGCCTACAACGCCTTGAGCCCGGCCACGGTAGCCGGAGCCCATGATTGGATCGCCAAAGGACGAGCCAAGCAATGCACACTTTGTCTCAAGCGTTTGACCCTGCATGCGAAACTTCCTGACCTCCTTCAAGCAGGCCAAGAGCGATGTGCAGGAAACCCGGGGAGCACCTTGGGAGGGGCCATGCACACACAGAATGACACGGAGACCAAGAGCCAGATGATCCAGCAGATCCTCGATGGCACTCTGCCAGATGAGGGTGGGCACTTTTTCAAGCAGCAGGGCAGCTACCTGGTGTGTCAACACTGTGGGACGCGTACCTTGCGCAACACGGCCAAAGAGAAGATCAGGGCTATGGCCATTGAGAAGTGCATCAACCAAGAGTGGCATCCGGACAGGTCATGGGGTGGACATGCCTCTCACCGCATGTGGAGGAAGGCAAAGGGCCTCCGATGTCAGGCTTGCAAGGCACAAGCCACCTGGCAACAGGACAAATGGATGCCGAGCAAGACGCTGAAGGCGCCATGCGGACATCAGGAGGTCAGCACTCAGCACCCCTGATTTTCAAGGCCAAAACGGCCAGCCCGTCACCATAGAAAAGGAGCGAGCAAAAAAGAAAAAAAAAATATATATATATATATATGTGTAGGCACATGGCATGTTGTGTTGCAAGTGGTGTGGCGGGCATCCCACAGTTGTGTCCCACTCTATCATCCACTCTATCATCCACTCTGTCCCACATGTTGTCTGGTGAACTGGGCATGATCCAATCACAATTTGACGACACGCGCAGCACATCGCAGCGCTTCAAAAATAGACCGAGAGGGGAAGTAGGGTAAGAAGAAGCCTAGTTACTTGAACTAGCTACTAGTAGGGAGGCAGAAGGCTATTCATTGGTTCCCAGGTTTGGGGGAACGGTTTGCTCTTGTTTTCCTTCTTTCCTGCTTTCCAAACTGATTTCACCGCTTAGTGGCAGATGACCCAAGTTGTGTCTTTAGAATTTCGAAGTGGTGATTCCCCTCCGTCGCTGCACTAAATTCACATCCTTGAGAATGCCTCAGCAATCGGAGAGCATTCAGTCAAGCACTGGACAAGGGAGAAGCTCGCTGGATGTCACAGTGTTCTGCTTTTGGAATAATTGCCTAGTGAGTGGCTTTCATAATCTTGCACAATTCAATTGGTACTCAAGCACGAGTGTGTGCGTGCGCTATCTGCGCCCGGGCTTCGCATGCTTGCTCTGCAGTCCTTTCCGCAGAATCGGTTCCCTTCCATATTCAGCTGGGGGGACCCAAAACAGGCTAGGCATCTCTTGGCAACGCATCCAGAGGGAGGCAGGGAGCAGTGGCCTGGCCCCCGCCCGAAGACTATACTTGCAGCTTGAACATTGAGAACACACAGCTTGTCGAAAGCCTCATTGCAGTTTGCTGCCACTCGACTGGGGGAGGTGGGCCGGGCATTTCAAGCTGAAGCCACACTGATCAGCCACACAATCTTTCATCACCTGAGCAGAATCCTGGCAAACCAGCCTCAGGTGTCTAAAGGTATTCACAAACCCACTAGCTTCATGAAAGGATGTTTCGGGAGTGATTGCGTAAGTACGCCTACCAGCGCAAGGTCCCTTAGCCTTCTTTTGACGTGTCTAAAATGTCCGGTTTGTTTAAGCTTGGAAAGAATCCATCTACAGGATCACATCGCTCCTCCTCAACCAATCGTTGAAGCTTGGCTTTCAAGTCCTTCTTCAGATCCGCATCAGCATGCATAGCCTGAAAGCTGTTTGCACTCCGGTCTAGTCTGTCGCAACATCTTGCAACAACTTCTGCCAGGTTGCTTCTCAGCAAGCAAACCGCGGCTCCTTTTTGTACTTTGAAGCTGCTCATCGACATGAAGACCTCAATGGAGCTACAAGGGAAATGAAACGGGCGAAAGCAAAACAACTTGCAGACACAGCTGTGCAAAGGACATTTGGGAAAGGATTGAAGAATTCATCTGGGCTTGCTTGAGCCGCAACGCTTCATTCGTCCCTCATCTTGGGAAAAAAATGTTACTGTGATTCGAACATACTCAGGAATAAAAGCTGCAATCAGGCAGCAAGTCTTTTTCACCACTTCAACAGACACAAAGGGCACTATGACTACCGCACGGCATATCTTTGCAAGATTGCTTTGCGCGACCTCACAAATGCCACTGGAGCAAGATCCCCTCGGTCTGCTTCCTGCAAAAGCGCCCAGCGGTCCTCTCTGTATCGCTTTCGGTCTGTCTGTATGTCTGTCTGGCTGTCTGGCTTCCTTCCTTCCTTCCGTCCTTCCGTCCGTCCGTCCGTCCTTCCTTCCGTTTTTCCTGCCTTCCTGCTCCCTTCCTGCCTTCCCTCCCTCCCTCCCTCCCTCCCTCCTTCCTTCCTACCTTCTTGCATCTACCTATCTAGCTATTATCTATCTGTATACCTATCGATCCTTATCGCTGCGATGGGATGGCTTCCTTCCATTCTATATACCCCCAACCTTCCCACAGCTTCCCCCCGAAAGAAACTGCTGACGATAGCTTGAGCTACTGATAAGTGTTGTGTGAATGCCAACAGTCAACGTGACACATCATGTGGTGAGCGGCTATCACGCAGACAGGTTTTGACATCCATCTGCAGTGGCCTCAGCACGTCCAATGTCGGGTTTCTCGCCAGGTATCAAACGCCACCTCCAACCGAGTGCCTCTCCAAGATTGAAAGCGGCTGATTGAAAGTCAATAAAGTCCGTTGAAGATGTTGCAGTGACCTGTTTTTTGAAGTTGGTACAGCTTGGCCAAGCAAGCCAAGCAAGGTATATAGGACATGTACATCCGTACCTGCAGTGGCAGAGAAATCTTGCAGTACTGTGGTACATTGTAACATGTTTCAATACAACCGTTTGCCAAGGATCCGACCTTGCCATTCTGAAGAGCAGAGGCCTTCAAGCAAATCATAGAACCACTAATTTGCAAACACAGAACTTCACAAGGGCACAGCGCTTGGACAATGTAAAAGCAGAATCATGCTCCTGCACCACATCGCGAAGCAAATTCCTTCGTGCCAAAAAGGACTGGAAAGTTATTCATTTGATTCATCTTCTGATACATCTAGGGCCACAACCCATGTTGTGGAACTCTTGCCAGCGCATTTTCCTGCCGACATTTGCAAGACATCTGAGCCTTGTCACATCCCGCAAGACGCCAAAACACAATTTTGTTACTGTTGGTCGGTGGTCTCGGTCGGAAGTGTTTTCTGGACTGTCAACAAGCACTTTCTGGTTTGTCGCCACTTTAGCGGAGTTTTATCAAGCATGATGCAGTCCTTAGGTTCATTCATAAACAGTTGAAGTGCCGAATCCAGGTGTTAGGTGACATGGTGAGGTTCAAGCCATGGTTTATGGTTTTGTTGACATCGACGTGTGCTTTAAAACCCGAAATTCAAATCTACCACGCTTGGCCCCGTTTCAAGCAAAGTATTACTAAACTGTATACATGTATACATATACAGATATATGTCTACATATACGAAACATGTACAATACATGCTGGCGGCAAGTACAGCAGAAAAAACGTGCTTCGAAATCACCTTTTGACTGTGCTTACATCCTCTTCGTAAAGGTTCTTTACATCATCTTCTTTGTTGTTTTTCCCGAATGCGTAGCGAAGGGTTCTCGTTTAACTCTGCGGGTCTGGGGGTAAAGTTTTGTTCGCGACTCCTTGTCGTAGCGACCGCAACCATTGTCAACCGTCCGCAACCGTTCGCAGTGGCACTATGGCGCTCACATTGGGCGAAGCTTTTGGACGGGGTTTTGGATGGAAGCATGACATGTCAGATTCGTGTGAAACAGCAAGGAAACGATGTTGACGTGGAGCATGATTTCACTGCGCAGCGGCGATTTGTAAGATCTGCAGTTTTCTTCGCAGTCACATTGGGATTGGCGTTTGGAGAGTCTTGTTTTTGGGGTGTTGGATGTGGCATGATGTGGCTGTGACATTGGCATTGGCGTTTCAGGTTGTTGCTTCGAGGCTGCATTTTTTGTCTCAGTGTCACTGTTTTTCCATCTTCCATGGAAGTTGGTCCATGCTTTCGCTAGAGTCTTTGCATCGTAATTAAAATCCTTGCGTTCGCTATTAAAATATAATATGTTTCCCTATTAGAAGGTACCCTGGGGAGTGTGTGTATGTGTGTGGAACGTCTCGAAATCATTCCAAACGAGTGGCATCAGTGGCATCAGTGGCATGGTGCAAATTTCGCTGAAGACATGAGCATAATAGAACATGTGATATCCTCACTTTTCGTGGCAGGCGCAGTACTTTGCGCATGTTGGAGGCGTCGAAATTAAATTGCGTAGCAAGCGCAGGGAATCAAGGTGTGGCGATGTTTGGTGGATGTGACCGTTGCTTGCTGTGACATTGGGATTGGTGCGTCGGCGACGATTGTGGTTTTGAGGGGCTGGGATTGCGCAACTGCGTGGCAGGGCTGCAGAGTGTGTTGATAAGACTTCCTTCCCGCTTCACTTTCGAAGGAAGTCTCGTAGGAAACACAATACTGGCGACTCTGTACTACAAATGTAGCGCGGCAACTGTTAGGAGCTTGGTAGTACAAATATAGTATAGTACGGTACGTGTAGTGCGGGAAGCCGCTTCTAGGAGCTGCGGGCCACTTTTCCGTGGCCAGAACTGGCGACCCGTCTGCAGAGATCTTGCGCGTCAAGTGCTCACAGGTGAAGTGAAATGAAAATTTCGCCTGCTCGTGGTGAACCTTTTGGAGATTGGGCGCGTCGAGCGCTCAAACGTGAGATGAGATCCAAATTGCATTTTTGCGGAGCACACATGAGGTGAAGTGTGAATTTTTGTGTTCTTGGTCCATGGCGAGCGCTTTGCAGAGATTGGGCGCGTCGAGTCGCCAAAGTGTCCAACTGTCTTCGGAAATCGGGGTGAAAGTTGCCAAAGCGTGTAACTGTCGTCAAAAATGAGTGTGGAAGACGCCAAAGTGTGCAACCTGTGTCGAACATCATCGTCACAACTCAGAACTGTAGCACAGATGTAGTACAGGAAGCAGCTTCTGGCAACTTTGTAGTAAAAATGTGGCGCGGGAAACGGCTTCTGAGAGCTGTGGCCTCAGAACTGGCAACTTTATAGTGTTCAAATGGTGCGGGAAGCAGCTTCTGGAGCTGTGGCCTCAGAACTTTAAAGTCTAGGCCACTGGCAGGGTGTCCTCGCCCCCCACCACGTCAGGAGGCACTAGCAAGGCCTTTTGCTGGGCCTGAAGGTCCAAGCTGCCCGCCATTCTGATGTCGGGCTTTTCAGGCTTTCCAAAGTTTCCGTAGCAAGGCACTAACAATCCTTCCGAAGTGGCCGATGCCATGGCGTGTTGAAAAGCAGTAGATGTCTTTTTCATACGGATTCGTGCTTGCTCAGCACTCCGTTTCACTTGAACCAAAATGTCCCATGTCTTATCGTGAACCTAAACCTTGCAAGCACAGGCTAAATGCAAGGAGAATATGTCCTCCTCTCGAATTTGATGAATGTGCTCTCTGTTATGCAGAAGGGCCACACGAAGTTGTGTTCAACAAATTGTTTCAATGTTGCTCATCAGTATTTTATCGTTCCAAGGACTTGATCCTTTGGAATCTGGAAAATGCACACAATGTGATATGCTTCTTTCAACTGTCAGGCAGGCTATAGTACACTCCTACAAGGACGTTGTTTGTGCCACTAGCAACTCTGCGATTGGCAGCAGGCCGCTGGTTGGTAGGACGGACATCGGACACGTCAGAACAAATTAAATGAACATCAATTGTGGGGGACGGCTTGCGGCTTATGATGTTTGTTTGGGATTGCGCCAACACAACCTGTTCCTTGTGTATGTACGCGCATGTGTGTGTGTGTGCACCAGTAAAGAACTGATCCCTTGCATCTTCAAACACCATGTTGTGATTGCCCGACGTGGAACACCGTCCAGGGCGTGCGATGCCAGCCATTCTTTGCAGCCAGCATCAGCGGCCAAAACCTCAATCATCATGAGCTATATTAGAGTGGATCTGTTTTACAGGTAGTTGCGCATGAAGTTCTGATCAAATTGAGTGGTCCATGAAACTCTGAGCCGCTATCCACGAAGCCCGCACTTTCTAAACCTTTGTGCTGTGTCACTACGCTGTTGAGGAAAGCATTTTGAGGGCCATCTTGCAGTCCATGCCTCCGGCACATTGCTTTGATGGCCTGTGCCAAAACGGTGTTTCAATGAGAACTCCATACCATCAAGCTTCAGTCTGTGGTAGCAGCCTGAAGGAGATCCATCGGGCTCTCAAGTTCCGTATTGCGTCGTCAAGACCACCACCTGGCACGTTCTGAACTCAGCACGATTCTGCTAGAAGTCTTTGTTTCCAAATGATTCCTCTCCAACGACACCTGCATCTTCAGCAGGCAGTTCTCTTCTGGCTCTCAAACGAGCATTTGGCAGCCACGTTTCAAAAGCGGCTAGCTCCCTGAGTGAGTTCCACATGATGCGGCTTCTGTCATATGTCATTCTGTGGTTCCTTGGGCCAAAGCAGGCTTTGTAGAGCTTGTCTTGTAAAGGCACTGCTGAGCATGACCTAAACAGGGTGCTTAGAGCACAGAAATCCGACCACTGCTGCGCCAGGCCGAGACTCCTGACATTTTGCAACTGAGAACCTTTCAAAATCGGCTCCTTTAACCTCAAGGCAGCAAACACAAACCGATCCCCATGTATTCCAACTTCTTCGAGAATTGGATATCTTTTAAAGCCCGCTCTCCAACCTAACAGCAATGGCCTCCAACCTAATAGCGATGGCCTAATAGCCATATAATTAAAGTCTAAATGGAGGTAGCTTGCATTAGCTTGCACTCTTGGAGTAAGGCCTTGTGTGAGTTCGGCCAGTGGCCGCTTTACTCAAGACTGTTTCGTCGGTATCAGCTATGACCGCCTGTACAGTAAAGCAGCTTTCCCAAGCCGTCTCTCCCATACCGCCGGTCTGATTTTGGCCGTGATGACAAGTGAAAGCAACGAAAGGTGCCTCCAGCACAAACTCTAGCACTTGGTCAGCAAAGTGGCGGTTGAGGTTCGCAGCGAAAAGGCCTAATGTTGTATGTGCAAATTGGCTTTTGGCATTGCAAAAGGGGAGCATGAGTCTTTGGCCATGCCACGCCAGCAAATCCATCGTCATGGCCTGAGTTGCATTTCCACCCAGAAAGCGCAATAGGACTTGTCGTGATCGAAAAGACTTGACACTAGCAAACAGCGGAGAGCATGCTTCAGCAATTCATGTCCACTCTCATAATGAAATGCAGAAGGAAAGTCAAAGAAAAGTCGCTTATGTAGGTAACAGAGGCTAGCTTAATGTCTTCCCTCTTCTGTCTGATTGTTGTCCTACATGTCGGACATGGAAAAGCCCACAAAACATCAAAGGCCACAAGGCTCTCACTACCTGGCCCAGCGCATTTTGCTGCCATCCTGGACCATGTCCCGTGTACTTCCTCAAATCATCGAGTGGAAAAGTCTGAAAATCTTAGGACGTGAAAATCTTAGGCAATGTCCCTCTTGCCAAGGCAACGGTGGCGCGCAAGGCTGCTTCACTCACCTCCTTTCGCAGCAAGGACCATGTAGAGCAATGGTGGCAGCTCTCACTCTAGGCATGAATCTCAGCAAAAACTCGGAATATATTTTTGTCTCGCTGTTAAGCCTGCTACATTCAGCTGTCAGCTTCGGAAAGCAAGGGATTCAAGGCAAGGACTCGGTGCGCGCTGCCGAAGAGGGCCGCGCACCCTGTTTCATGGAGCCACATTGGTCTCAGGGGTCTCACGTCTCTCGCGTCTCACGCTTATAGACCCACCAGGCAGTCTTCTCGCTCGAACAGGTTGTCTCAATACGTAGATGATCCTCGCAAAAATACGGAGATCACAGACTTCGACCATCTACTTTGCTGAATGGTCCTTGTCAAGAAAGTACTGGCACGTTCTTGTCCACTGCTTTGGTTGCGCTTTCTCCAGATCAGTACCTTTCCAACGTAGAAGATGCGGCGTGTGCGGGTCCCAGTATGTTGTTTGAAGGAAGTCAAAGTCGCCACCATTTACCTCAGCACAGCACAGTACCATGGGAGTGGAAAACAATACAATTCAGTTGTGGAGTGGCCTTGTTCTGACTAGACTAGGTGCCTTCTGCTCCTCCCCATTCACGTCAAACTCTTGTGTCGTCTCCTACGGTTCTGCTGAAAAATAGCAACAAAAACAACAATGGTAGTACAGTAATAATGACCTAGAAAAAGAAAGTACTGCTGTTTCTTGTTTTTTTCCCGTTCCCCGTTCCCATTGCATTTCTTTCTTTCTCAAATCACTTATTCATACAGTCACAAGAGTTCCAGGTGTCCTGAATCGCGCTTTCAGTGACTTTCATCTTAGAGGAAAGCAGCATACAGCACCACACAAAATTGGTGAAACGTCAGGATTGTGTTTGATGAATGTACATTTCAGGAGCCAATGCTCTTTTGAGGCCCTGGCATGAATGCCATTCTGCTCGTACGTTCTGCAAACCGTGCCCTTCCCCCAGCCAAAGCTCGCCATAAATTTGCGGGCCAAATAGCCTCCAATCGCACATCGTCTTTGCGTCTGTGCGTCTCTGCTGCAGAATGATCGAACAAACATTTTATACATTTTGTGATTGGCCCTCGTTTCATGGCAGTTGCCTATTCCCATGTCCGCGAAAACTGCGTCAAGTTCTCCACCAGCTTCCATGCATTTCCAATGTCCTGTGAAGTTCACATGCCCGTCCGCTTCAAGATGCTCTGCAGGGGGCAGTGGCACAAACCTCAACTCAACTTCTCTTCACGTGCACTGGTTCAAAGGCCAAGCAAGAAAAATGCCAAAAACTATCTTCTGTCAAGATGCCCTACTGCAGGCTCGCCCTGCAGAGTTGCCCCCTGTCGAGCTCCACTCTGTTGAGTTTCCTTTGGTCAAAATTTGATGTCAGTATGTAGGGGGAAGCTGAATTCAAGACAAACATTTTCTGGCCATCACAAACCCTAAGGAATCTACAGTTTCATCACCCAAATTGGAAAGAAACGGACAACGTCTGAGGGCTTCGCCGGGTCCATGTGCTGGCTGCCTTCCCTACCCCGAAAAGATCTGATCCACGATAGAATCCCAGCACCACCTGGAGTGAGTGTAAGGAGATCTCTCAGCGCTTAGACTCAGACTCATACGAGTGAAAGTGATCCAAATGCTGCCAAAGGTACAGCAGCAGTCGCCTTGTGGTGCCAAGGTCAAGACTCCGGTGATTCATCGAATTAGTGGAGCAGTCAAAGGTCCAAGTCTACCAAGGAATTTCTCTGTCTTGCCAAGTCTCTGGAGGAAGTCGAGCGTTGAGACGCTGTTCCATTTTTCTGCGATGCAGGAGAAAAAGTCATGAGGCATGTGTGATTCTTGTAGCGCCAAGCTGAATCTTGTCCACGCGTTTTGCGATTGATTGACTTGTTCCTTGTCCGAGACAGGAGGAAGAATCTCTGCAGGAGAATCCTGACAACATATATACTCCATCTGTGTTTGCAATAGTGTAATGTAATGGTGTGTATATATATAATTGAAATCAGACTCTCCTTTATCGAGGCCCACTGCGACGGCATTGGGCAACAACAGCAAGCAAAAACTGCAGCGCCGAGAAGGAGAGCGCCTGCAGGAATAACATGAGTTTTTGTTTTTCAAAAATGATATTAGAGTACATGATCGAGCATTTTAGGGAAAGCGTTCATTGACTATCAGTGCCCGAACCTGCCTCCTAACAAGCAGCCTGAGATGTTGGCGCTCATAAGCAAACTCGACACTTGCACCAGTGCCTCAGACTGTTTGCAGGTTGAACTCTCAGCGATAGAACGGTGTATTCACGGTCATTTGCATTCATTTGCCAGTTTCCGCTACTGCGCCTCTTCCGTTGACCCTACTTTGGAGGATTTCCTCAGTTTGGTGTTTCAAATGTCTGTCATGGCTATACAGTACATGATTGCCACTGGGAGTACCTAGTTTCTGTAACACTGGTACACTGCTTCCCTGCATCATGTATTCTTTTGGGGCAAGTCTCTCGTGAAGCACTGGCGGCCCAATCTGAAGCAGCGAGACCACACTTTCAGCCTACCAGTGTCGGATTTTGTTGGCGACACTGCCGAACCACATTCGCATCTCTCCTCTCCAGCTTCTATGTACGGCGAGATCATGCGGCATGCCTAACACGGGAAGAAAAGCAGCAAGAACTTTCCAAAGTGGCTCGAAGCATGATTTTTGCTGCCTGCACTGCTCGGTGCCAAAGAGCACATGCCGCCAGCACACGGACCATGAGCCCGCATTTATCGGGCTGCTACAAAATAGTTCGATATCAAATGGTTGAACCTTTGAACCAAAGTACGAGGAAGTGATCCACCAAAAGTCACGACAACACTGTGTCGAAACATGTTCAACAATGATCCAAGACTTGAACTGGTCATCAGCTTGTGTCAATCGACAACAAAAAGGCGTCCTGCACCCAGCCTGCCGGCCCGAACCTCGGTCATTCGGAAGGGTTCATGCAAAGTACAATGTTCCAACAGCCTGCATTTCCTCATATTCCCTAAAATATGCAAATAGCTTCACATATTGGTAGTCATGAGGCCAGGCAAAATTCAATAATGGCTGAAGGATATTTAGAGCCTAGAGCCTAGGATACGATATGATGATGTGCCTGGAGTCTAGGATCGTGGCTTTTTTGGTTTATCTGTCATCTGTCTATGTTTATGTGGCATTCTAGAAGAATTCTGGAAGACTTGGAATGCAATTGATTTCAGTCATGTGAGCCACACCGCAACCGTCCTCGTTGCTACCCACCGAGTAACTGAACTTCACGGAGTGAGACCAAAGCGGCCTCGCCCTCGCCGCTAGACCGCTAAGGAACTAAGTAACTTCTAGCGAACGGACGCAGGATAGCTGATAGCTCACACTATTCATTTGGTTCCTAGATTTTTAGGAATGGTCAAGGAGATTAGAGTCGTGGTTGTTGCAAGGTCCAAGCAAACACCTCCTCATCATCCAAATGGATTACGGATTCACATCCCATGCTCCACATCCAGATACATCCAAACCATGCCATAGCTCACCAAACTCTTTCTCGCACAACAAAGGCCATTTCTGCCACGCCACCAACTGCCAGACACCACACCACCCTGTCATCACCATATGCCTGGCAGCACCTTTACAGTTTACAGTGCAAAGCTTCAATACTGTCAATACTCACAAAGCCCTGCATCCACCTCAAACCCACAAGCGTGATACTGCAACTGCATCCCGCCATCAGTATACTTCAACCCTCAGCAGATTATTCCGTGTGATGGTAGTTAGCGCAACGATGCCTTCAAAGCCTCTATATTCTATATGGAGCCAGCATCAAATCTGCCTTCTGGCTTACGACTGTTTGCAGGAAAAGCTTGTCTTGCCGTTTTGTCGACGTCATTGTGTCCCCCAGTTTAGGTCCAGACTCGCCACAGAGATGCACAAACTCATCCCACTCTAGGACCTCAGTGATTCTCCCAAATCAGCTGAAGGGCAGCGTGCAAATGTAGGGCCCTCACATTTTCACATGTTGCAAGCGCAGCATTCGGAGAAGAAACGCCAGAGTCCGGGTAGTCCTGCGCCAGGAATCTATTGTTTCACACCAAGGCAGCAAGAAATCGAAGAATTGGCAAGGTGTTGGCACCAGCCAGTCTCCTGCCAGAGTTTCAGAGCCTTTGACCAGCTGCTGTGCTTGAGGCATTTCAGGAGGACCAGGTTGTAGAGCTGGCCAACAAAGACAAAAGCGACAAGAGTGAGATATATGATAAATGCAAGAAAAATTAGACAAAACGGAAGGTGTAAGGGCATGCCACCAGCCCACAGGTGGCCATTTATGTCGTGTCAATGTTCAAGGAGCAGGCCGCTTTAGGCCTTCGACTCGGAGCCTTTTGCTCCGGCTTTGTACAGTTTCAGCCGCGAAGAACTCTGTAGTTGAGCCTGCAGTCACACATACGAAGAAAATAGTCAAGTCACTCTGCACAGGGTAGGCTCTCTTTCTCAGCAAAAGCTCTCTCAGCAAAAGTCTCCTTGGAGGACGAGGTTGAGCTTTTGCGCCACCTGAGCTCCGAAGTACAGCACTTTCTGTTTTTTGTCTCGCATCACGGTAGAGACCGGCCTTTGCATTCCGGAGGGCATGACTTCACCGGCTTTGCCTCTCAGGTACTCAGCTAGCAAACCACTTCTAAGACTGTAAGATGGCCATGTTGGTCCTCACTGTTCCATGGACGCCGCTCATAGTGCTGCCGACAAACTGGGCCTGTAGAAACTCAAAGTAAAGCCCAAGACTGAACCAACAGAAAGCATTGAAAACTAGCATTGTGCTTTCTTTTTCACTTGCTCGGCACTTGTTCCGCACTTAACCTTTCTCATCCTCTTTCAAAGCTCTAGGAGTTCGGCAGAGGTGGACCTTAACCAAAACTGAATTTCTTCTGAACGAAAACACCTATTCACTGAGCCAATCGCTTCGAAGACATGGAATGATTCAAAGGACATAATGCAGCAACGATGGAATACCTGAGGGCCAAAAGACATCACCTCGAAACCCCATGAAACCCATGAGACAATCTCTGAGGTTCCTGGCATGTGTGCAGGATAGTAGTTCCACTCGATCGCCTTGCGCTTTCACTCCACATCACACCGCCTAATGTGCCAAACTTGGGCCATGGCTTTGTCGATCTGCCAAATGGCAAGGTTGAAAACAAATCGGGCAGTCAACTTCTTCTCCACGACCTGAGTACCCACTAGCATTGGCCTCCAACCTGGTAGCAATGGCCTCCAACCTGATAGCAATGGCCTCAAACCTCATAGCAATGGCCTCCATCCTAAGAGCAATGGCCTCCAACCTACTAGCAATGGCCTCCAACCTGATAGCAATGGCCTCAAACCTCATAGCAGTGGCCTCAAACCTAATAGCAGTCGCCTCCAACCTAGTAGCAATGGCCTCAAACCTAATGGCAAAAGGCCTCCAACTTGGCCTCTAACCCAATAGCGATGGCCTCCAACCTAATAGCAATGGCCTCCAACCTAATAGCAAGGGCCTCCAACCAATAGCAATGGCCTCAGCAATGGCCTCCAACCTAATAGCGATGGCCTCCAACCTACTAGCAACGGCATTTTACTTGCAGAAGGGACCCCCACTGGCAGGGGAAGGGGCTGAGTGTCAGAGACAGATAGCAACCTAGAAGAATCATGCAACACGCTCAGAAGAAGACGGTGACGATGTAGATTCACAAAAGGGCTCGGAGTTCCAGCTTTCAAGCGTTTCTGTAGCACATCCCAAGTGGCTCCAGGCGGAGACCAATGGAAACGACACAAATCAGGCATGGAATCAAGCTCAAGTCCCGGCCACCAACCATAGGCAGTGGGTCGGATATGTGATTTGAATTCTTTTTGGATCAAGTTCCCAACACGCTGCTGTTCGGGATAGGAAGGTCTGTGCGACCAGCCAAACACACAACTGCCCGCTCCCTGTCTGTATAAAGAGCACACTCTGGCGCGGCGAACATGCGAAGGCACCAATGGCACACCACACAAGGAGATGGTCTGCCCAACCATGGTGGCGAATTGGATTGCACACTCATTCCAAGAGTAGTTACAGGCAAGGGCTTCAGCAGGGCTATGAGCCCAGGCAACCGAATTGTCCTCGCCTCCTGAAGGGTGGTGCACTGGGATATACCCTCGAGCATAGAGCATAAAGCTTATGACCGTCTCCATCCAAGAGATGCCTACCAGGACATTGTCTTGCAGATTATCCTCCTGAGGCCACTGGAAGGCGCTTAGCCATTCAAGAATACACTCAAGCAAGGACGAGCCCCAGTAGGAAGAGGCAAAGCAATTGGAAGCCCTGGCGCCCTCGATATACAACGTCCATGGATTCGTCACAGATCAAGTGGCCATACGAGCATAAAAGTCCTGTGCACCTCGGGGCTCCTGCGGATTAAAGGAAGCAGGATTCATACTCCTTACGAGAGCGCTGAAGGACCAAAGAGAGACGAAAAAACTCAGAAAGCTCGCATCTCTGTTTTACGAGTCAGGGCTCGGTTAGAGTTGGGTAGCAACGAAGGCACACGTCTTCTGCAGCTCTGTCAGCCACTGCATTACCGAGGGGATGGTAGCAGAGTAGATCAGGCACAACGAGTAGGGATCATCGTGACCCTTAATCTTAACTACCTTATTGACATGGCTGTTGGACAAATTGCGAATGCGATGGCAAAGAGCCGGCTGTGGATGTTTATGCAGTTTGGAACCTACACACTTAGCAGCATGACCAAATGTGGCGATAGCTGCGGCAGAGTGCATGGTGTGGCCTCCAACCTAATAGCAATGGCCTCCAACCTAATAGCAGCGGCCTCCAACCCATTCAATAGCAAGGGCCTCCAACCTAATAGCGATGGCCTCCAACCTTAAAAACATGGGGCACTGGTCATCACGGTCTGCACTTGAAGTTGAGTATATAGGCATTGGTGCAACCTAAGTGCCGATCAGCGGGCAGCTCTCCGTGCTGATGACCATGACCATTGCTCTGTCCCTCACGTCTCAGAACGCCAACTGTCACAAAACATCGAAATGTTCGGGCACAAATCGCAAGTCCCTCCAAAAGGCCTTTGACAGCGGAAATGACCTTTGCCAGCAGCAAATCTCAATCTCCAAAAAACCTTGGGGTTCTGAGATGCTCACTTCTGCCTGTGAACCATCAGGCGGAGGCTGAATGCCTCCATGTAGTTGCTCAAAGCCACACAACCCGTCACCTCAACAACTGGGAGTGTCAATAGTGCCATGTTCCAAGATCGCAGGGAACTGCCTGCAGCTCAGACTGGCACGGATAGCAGCAGAGCTCTTGGCCACACTTCCATCCAGCTCCTGAAACAATCCAACTGACCTCACTACACTGCCAGCAAAGAAGTGTCGTTTGTCCTCAAGGAATTTATCAAGAGCATCTTCATGGTCCTCAAGGAAATACAAGCGTTCTCTGGACTTTCATAGATCGTTCCATCTGATTTCAGCTTAGATCTTGGAGTCTCCTCACAGGCTTTCTCCAACTTTCCGCCCAAGACCTAACTCCAATGCGATCAGAAGCGAGCCAGGAGGCAGAGTCTGCGGCCTGAAGGGCCTTTCCACAAAAGCGTCTATGCCTTGGAGAACTCTAGAAATGCCAGAAAATGTGTCCTTTCTTCAATATCTTGAGGTTGTGGCAGTGTAGGGGCCTCTTTGCGAACGCTTGGAAGACGCAGCTCATTAAACAGCCTGGGGTCGAAGGCCACTCACTGACAAAGGGTGAAAGGCTGTCTTTAAGCTACGAGCACGGCTCAAGTCTAAGTCTTGGAGCAAGGCTCTTTTCGGCTCAAGTAGCCACGCCATGCCCGCTGAATACGACTAGCGCATTTTTTGCGCCAGACCTCATTCAGCACAAAATGCAAAGAGAAATTGAGAAGGTGTGGTTGGAGACTTGACCAAAGCACAAGAGGAGGCTGATTGGGACAAATGTTGAGATGGCGGAGAACTGTGCATTCCGGCGGTACCAAAGAAATGCCCAATCGATTCTACGCTGCGAGCAGTTCATTCCAAGTTTCGCGCCATGAGTCCTGAATGATGAATTGTTGCATCAAAATAGGGACATCGACCTTGATTTCGTTGTCTTTGCCATTGAGAGAGATTCAGAAGGACCTAGACCTACACCTGTTGGACCTGTCAGTTGAAGTCAGGGCGCATAGAGGGCATTGCCTTTTGCCAGCAAATCTCTCAAAGCTGCGCAGGCACCTAGCAACACTACCAGGCTAGCACATGCAATTTTGGCTCTGCTCCATATCTGAAGGTCTGGGTAGTGAACTCACCGTGAAAAACGTGGCTGCAACCTGGATGAGATTTGCTGTATACAGATTCTAGACAAAGGGAAGAAAAAAACAAGCACAAAATAATGATTTCTTTATTGAAATGGAACAAAAAGCTTGAAATATTGTTTTTAGCCTGGAGATGCCTGGAGGTATCTTTTGGGACCCGGCTGAGGATCACTTGGGGGCGCATCCGAAAGTCCTCAAGACCTTAGCAAGGGTGCACAAAGTGCACATGGTGCCACAATGCGCCCAATTAAGGTGCTGCACAAGAAGGTTGACAATATAGTGAAAACAAGAAGAAGCGTGAAAGCAAAGTGACCCCCATAGCTACCTCTGTTCTGTTGGCTTGCCAACGGGCCAATCATTGAGATTTGTCTGGCTTGGGTGTCTAATCCGCCGGCCTTGCCGGCGTGTCTTGTGGATGTTCCTTGTTCGTAGTTTGGTTTGTATTGTGGTCTTTGTCTAAGATTGTCCTGCGCGCGGATTTTTAACCCGCCTGAATTGAAGTACCCCCCCTCTCCCCCCCTCACCTCTTCTCATCGCTCTTCTTCTTCCTCTGCTTTCTTTTTTTCAACTCCAAGGCAAATAACCCAGGCAAGGTAACATTTATACTGTTCTTTGCATTTTACATACAGTTTGCTCCTAGGGTAAGCGCTGCGGTCTTCCCCGAATGTCCTCCAGCTTCTAAACTTAGCTTTTGTAGCCATCCCCAACCAAAAATCCAATGCACGGTAAAGCCGATGCCGTTCCCCTCCCCCATGTTTCGCAGTCTATCCTATCCCTGTGCTAGTAATGCTATCGCTGTTGGGGTGCATCTCCGTGCGTCACTGACATAATTATGCATTATGTTTGAAATTTGCCAAATGCAAAGCTACAGCATCAATTCACTTCTGAGCATTCAACAAATACTGCACGGCACTTCGCTGTCTTCTCGAGTGTCAGATCTATGCTTCACAACCTCCCACTGCCTTGGGAGTCCAAAATAGCTCGGTTCGAGTTTCAAGCACTGGAAATGTTTGGACCTTATTACCCTTCCCCACTTTGTCTACATTAGGCGAAGGCTGAAGGCACGGGCATACTTGTCAGTGGCTGTGCTGGTTCAGCTACAAGACCCATTCGCTGTGCCAACGACAGGGATGCCTCCAAGCTTTTTAAAAATGTCTTGATAGTTCTCAGTGAATGCTCTTTGCCTGATGGCGTCGGATCTTCTCGTCATAGTCAAGTTCCGCGTGTCCTCTCATCTCAACTTGACAAATCATGACAAATCTTCATGCGAAATCTGTGACACTGTGACACTGTGGACTGTGACGTTTCTGCTGGGTTGCTGGCGAAATCCCGATGCACTCGGAGCACTCCTGGACTGTGGAACAGCACACGGGACAGGGAAAAAACAGGCGTTCTCCTGGAAGGCTGAGACAAGCCAGAATGTACTTGACTTTCCTGGCTGAATTCCCCACACCAAGGATACACCGGTGAACCTGCCGCCTGGTTGTTTGAGTGTTCTTCGTTCGCTCGCTCAACATTGTCTGATTCTTGTTGTCTTGGAAGCTTGGTTTTGTTTGGAGTCTTCCAATCTCGGATGAACAGTTACTTTGCTTGTTTGTGGTTTGTTTAAACGGTGCTGTTCGCGCTGTTCCAGCAGCAACTTGTACTGCTGCATTTGATTGTTGTTCCACAAAATTGTTATTAAATGTTTTATTTGACACAACATAGTGCGGGCCATTGAAACAGTCTCTCATGTGTTTTCTTGTCAAGGCTAGAGTCTATTTGCTACTCCGCTTTGATTTTGCCTCAGCTTTTGCACATCCTTTGAAAATGAGGCCTTGATGTTGTTGTTGTGCCACGGCTGAAAAAGTTTAATGTAAGGTCTAATGGAAACATGTATATATTAACATTAAAAGGAAAAACTGCTATATTATATATATATATACTGCAGATTGTCCTCCACCTCCAACGCAAGAAAGCAAACACAACGAAATGAACCGCACCAAGTTAATTTTGCTGAAGACACCATGATCGCATCACAGATGGTTGTGGAGCATAGGAAGAAACTTAATTAACGAACATCAAACAACCATAAACGAACCATCTGACAGGGGGATTTAGTCACAACCACAAAGAAAACTAGGAACGCCAAAGTGCATCGACTTCCAGACTAGAACAACTTGCCGACCGATCTGAGTGCACTTGGGCCTGGCGTGCACCAGCAGATGAGCTGCGAGTGCGAACAGGTCTTGGTGGCTTGCCAAGCAAGTGTGCCTTCAAGCGAGCACAAAGCTAATTTGAAGGTCTAAAGTCTAGCATGGGGGCTTGTGTGGGACTTCATTCTTCTTTGCAATCGGTTTACTTGCTTGAACGGCTCTGAATCCAATGTGCATTTGGAAGTCCACAGGATTTCAAGACACAAGTTCCTTGATTCTTCGCATCTGCGGAATTCGCAGTGCTAGGGTTTGGTCGTTTGGGATGAAGGAATTGGAATTCTGGAGGTCACCAGTTGATCAGATTCACATGACCACGACATGGGCTAAACTGACAACTCGAGTCCATCGGAATCTTGCAGGTCAGTCTGTGTTCAGGTGAAGCGGACTGTCGCTCTGCTGCAAAAGGAATCTCTCCATATCCCGAATCCCAATCGTAGCGTCCTTGCTCCTAGTAGCGATGCCCTTTGCTCCTAGTAGTGTCCTTGTTCCTAGTATAAGGCCCGGAGCCCCTAGTAGCTTCTTGCTCCTGAGATTGGGAGATTCACTTGAATTGAGGTTTGTGATGGCTAGACTCGTTGGGCAATCTGGAGGGCTTTGCCCCTTGGCTTTTTTGGACTTGGGTTGACCAGCATCACCGGCTTTGAAACCTGTAGTTGTCCAGGTTTCCAGTCGTCCTATTTGCGACTACAGAAGAAGTCTGAAGCGCGACCCTCACACATTTCAAGGCGGTTCAAGCCCGCCCGCATGACCACAGGTCTCAGGAGCCTGGAGCGCAACAGCCCGCCAGACTTCTCCTCGAGCCCCATCTGCAATTACACCTGCAACAAAGTTTTGTTGCAAAGAAGCATTGAAAATCCAAAAAGCTGCAAACTCGACTCTAGGAAGCTCCTGCAGCTTTGAGAGGAACGCTGCGCTGCGCCATTCAGGGCTTTTCCCTCCAACATCGGAACGGCGCCAAAGCTTATCAACATCTTATCAACAAAACACCAGTTGCTGCAGTCCTTCAGGCAGGCACATGTCATCCCAGCACAATCAATAAGTAGACTTGAGCAATTTACACATTGATTCAATGTTCTATGTCTCAAGAGCGGGGCCTGTTCAATTTGTCGTTCTCTCCACAACTTTGAGTTTCCTCAACTTGTGGATCTCCGACAGCATCCTTTTGACAACGAGAAGTCTAGGTGAGATGGAGAGGCTGATCGTTCTTGCTTGGCATGGTTTACTTGAGCCAAAGAGCAAAGGACAAGGATCTGGTCTTGGCTTGTTTTGTTGAGAATGCAAATGCCAAAGCAAATGCTTTTCCAGATTCCCACCTGCCTCGCGGAGATCAAAATTCTCGGCATTGGGATACCTTGTCTTGACAGCTAGACTGTATGACTTGGAAGCAAACCACTTTTTGGAGCTTGGTCGGGAAAGCTCAGCGCAACCCTGTTCAACTGTCTTCAAAACCATCCGCCACCTTGCCATCGCCTCTGCCAACAAAAACTCGACCCATGGCCACTCTTGAGCCTCGCAACGGTGGACAAGCAGAAGTCCAAAAGAGTGACCATGGATGGGAGGTGCGTTGATCAGTTAACTGAAGAATCTAAGGGCTCCACATCAGCCGCAAGTGCTATCAAATACACATATGTGGTGAAGTAGGGCTGAACGCCCAGCTTCTCCATCTCAAGCTTCCACATCACAGCGAAAGCCTTCAGCTTGCCGCGGTGTTCGGTGTTGAGGCACGTGTGGAATCCCTTTTTTTAGAGCGCCACTGTATTCCCACTTACCATGCAGGCCCGTATCCTTACACAGCAGCACTCTTGAGGCTCAACTGGCAAGCTTCAATTCAATCTGTTTGACTCAGCTGGCTCAGTTCACAGCACAGAGGTCAAGCTGATGTGATTCGGCCTCAGTCAGACAATTCTTTACAATGCAATCTCTTTGAGCCACGAGTTTCGAGTTGTTTTTGCCCTGGGGGAGGAAGAGGTAAGCTAGTAGTAGCAATTGAGTAGAACGCTACTAGCTACTGGACGTAGGATAGCTCACGCTTCTTCAAGGAAGCTCCCCCTGCCTGAGGGCGGGGGGAGCTTCCTTGAAGAAGCGCTCGCACTAATCATTTGGTTCTTAGATGTTTAGGGAAACGCCCTGGCTTTTGCCAAATGAGATTCTGGCTCTTCGTTCTGATCGTGCATCTCGTCAAGCAACCTTTCAAGCGAATCAGCCATGAAAGGCTGACAGACTTGGGTCAACTAAGGATGCAACTCAAGAACAGCAGGCCATGCACCACCATGCAGATATGCACACATCATCTCCTTCGGAAAAAATAGAAAAAGCATACATACTGACGGACTGGTACCAGTTCAAAAAAAAAAGAATTATATAGCAACCCAAGCCCAAGGGTCAAGCTGTATATGTCACAACTTCAGGTTGTAAGTGCGCCTGGCTTCAGCTCCACGTGTAAGTTTGAAGCATAAAGCGAAACTTCTGCATTCAATCAGTGTATGCCAGAGGTGTTTCCAATAAACCGCACAGCATACGTAGATAGGAATCAATAATGATATGCAAGTATAGCGAAGGATGCTGGGCAAGGGAGCATGGAAACAGAAGAGAGGCTGTGCTCTGCAACACCACAGAGGGGCACACCGGCCAGAAAGCATTTGGAAATCCAGAGCTACCAAGTTGCTATTGCATTGTCGGCTGAGGAAATTCTGTAAACTTGGAAGACGGACGAAAGCAATATTGTGATAGATTTCAACTGATTGTTGGTTCGGGGTCACACCACGAAGACAGGGCAGAGGGCAAACCACAAAGGAAAGACAAAGAACTAAGGAACAAAGGTGTACAACTGTGTTTTCATGTAAATGTCCTTGGCCCTGGTGGATTTGCCCTACCCTTTCCCTCCCAAGCGTGCCCTTCCGAATCTTGGAACAGTTTTGGAGATACAGAGACACAGAAACAATTTAGTGCCAAATGCCAGGTATGTGCCACTGATATATCACTAAATGATGTTACTTCCTTCTATGTCCTTTTCTTGTGTCTTTATTATTGCTTGAAGGTGTGAAACGGACTGAAGGGCTCAGCACGAAGCACATACATAAAGGGTGCATTCCACCCCTTGCTGGTACGGTTGTTGTCTTCCCACTTTGTATGCTGCTTGGGTTGGCCACGGGTCCTCCAAGAACACGAAGGGCTTCTTCTATATGTTTACGCTATTTTGATGTGATGTTTGGTCTGACATCAGAACAGGTTCTTCTTTTATATTATTCTGCAAATTATAATTTTGTTCATCGCCACCTACCGTAATTATTGTTTGGTTTCTTGTATAATAGGACAACTTACTATATTAGGTCTGCAAGAAGCCCAAGAGACTAGGGTAGAATTAAGTAGAGCAGCCTCGGCTGGAGTGGAGAAAGACAAAACAGAATGGCAGGATCTACTTTGTCAAAAGTGTTGTCTCTTCAGTGCCGTTCTCCTTGTGACCTATCTAGCGTAGTCTTCTCTACTCTGACTCTGACTCACAATGGTGTGGAATGAAGGAGAGTACGCTTGGGTGCAGGCGGTCTGGCAGGTTTTTGGCGCGCAATTGCATAGCCCCAAAGCATGAGAGGCCCAAGAAACCCAGAAGTTGCAGGAAAGGGTAAATGAAACGGCCCATAAAAGAAGAGCAAGGCTCAAGAAAAAATCTTTTGTCTTCCCTTTGCTTCTCCTGCTTTAAAGAGTCCCTGAATCCTTGCTTGTGTTTTTGTCGTCTGGTTCACTGGCAAGCACTTGGGGTCAAACAAAGCGTATTGCGTGTGAAAGGAAAGGAATTAACCCAATGCGTGCATGTCTCTTTCTTCCAACAGGAATTTGAAGGAAGGTGTAAAGGACAGGTTTCGAACCAACTTGCCCATTATCCTTGAAGGTGTTGCGCTCCCCTTCCAGTCTATGCCCTTGGGTTTCTGCTGATGTTTTTCCACTCTAGTTGCCATCCCAGCCTATGACACTTGATAATCTCTCTCTCCCCTGATGCCAGCTTTTAGTCGTCCGTGGCAGTGAAAGAGAATTGGGTGCAGAAGGTGGGGGATTATATATATAAATTTAGCTAAAAATCGTGGAGGTAAAGAAACTGAAAAAGGTGGGGGGCAATACGTCCTTATAATAATGGTTTGTCAGTGTATTTGGAGTGATTGGGCGAAAGGGTGTGGAGATGAATGAATGATACAAACCCACATGCACTATGGAAAATATGTTTTTGCATGGCTACCCATATACCGCAAACGGACGAGCGATAAACCCAAAACGTCCCTAACTCATATGTATATATATATATATAGACATAGATAGATAGATAGATAGATAGGTAGGTAGGTAGATAGATAGATAGATAGGTAGGTAGGAAGATAGATACGTAGATAGATAGATAGATAGATAGATAGATTAGATTAGATTAGATTAGATTAGATTAGATTAGATTAGATTAGATTAGAT